TGTTTCTCTCTCTCTCTCTCTCTCTCTCTCTCTCTCTCTCTCTGTCCCTCTGCCTCTGTCTCCTCCTTTGCCTCCTTTGTCTTCTGTGTCATCTAACAAAATTTTTTTTGAAAGGGTTAAAGTACATGTGTATATATCGATTCTTTACTGGTTTGTTCAAATTACTCCTGCCTTCTATAGACCCAATGAGAACTCAGAAAATAGGAAGGAAGGGCAAAGAGCTGTGGCCTTTCTTGCTATGCGTATTTGTCCTACTTTTTCAGTTTTAAATGTTGCTACTAAGAGACGTAGACATGTTATTATTGGCTGTAATATATACCTAGAATGGAGGCAATAAACTATTATTAGCACTCAATTTCTTGACACTCTTTCAGTATTATTGGGTTAGGTTTCTTGACGTAAGTTAACAATTTGTTCCATAAGTAGGGGACATGTGTTAACCAAGAAATGAATAGAATGAAATACAAACATGTTGAAATAATATGGGAAAAATTGAATGAAAATAGCTAGTGATAATGTATGAGTTTTGTATGGAGAACGTACTATTTTGTCAAAGAACGGAATTTTTTTAAAAAAGGATACAAATATTAGTGTCCAAGAAAATAAAGATGAAACAAAACCAGTAATTTTATTAAAATGTTGGAAGTTTAATTTATTCAATTTAGACAATGACCAACTTTAAGTTGAAACTGGGCAGCTTAAAATGAAACTAAACAATGTAAATAGAATGATTAAAAAAAGAATAAAGATGACAAGTTTGGCCAACAATACACACACCTGCAAATATATCCAACAGGGCCCACTCTAATCTGAGACTTAGAAGAACATATGAGACTTTATGGAATGCCTTCACAGTGGGGAGCCACATGAATCTCAGCAGGTGCTATAAGGGAAAAGTATGCTTTCTGTCCTCATAGATGATACTGCTTAATCAAAGGGACCTGGAGCATGCCAATCCTGTGAGCTCATACTGAGCAGACACCATGGCAAATAGGTATTCTGTCAAAGTAATCAAGACTTACATAATAAAGAAATGTATAGGTAATAACCAGCATCTTGAATGGCACCTAGAATCAATGCAGCTCAAGAAACAGGACTGTCATATGAATATACCGAAGTAATGCTATCACTGTCCATGCCACTGCATTCTGGACCAGGTGAAGTTTTCAAATGGTTTCAAAGTCTCCATTTAGAATGCAATGCAAAGTCAAGCTATAAGCTGACTAGGACATGAGTGAGTGTCTGAAGAGCTTCCCAATCCAGAAATGGATTTTACTTTACTTTTTATCTATATGTTGAACAAGAGGGAAAAGTGTGAATCTATAGCACCTCATAAAGGAGGTGCCAAAACTTACTGCAATGTAAGGAAGGAAACAAATTGCTATAAATTGGTGCAACCAAATCCCAATATCCTCAGAGCTAAATCACAACAATATTGTAAAAAGCTTATGAGAGATCAAGCAGCAGAAGGATATGTCTCTTGGCTCTGCCATATCCATATCCTTCATGTGACCAAGGCTGTCTCTGTATTATATTCTGGCCTGAAATCCAACTAAAATGTGTTTAGACAATTTGCTTTCTTTTACAACAGCAATAGCAAACTTAGACTTATATACTACTTCACAGTGCTTTACACCCATCTCTAACCGGTTTACAGAGTCACCATATTGCCCCCAACAATGTGGGTTCTCATTTTACCAATCTTGGAAGGATGGAAGACTGAGTCAAGCTTGAGCTGGTGAGATTCAAACTGTCAAATTGCAAGCAGTCAGCATAAGTAATCTGCACTACTGCATTCTAATCACTGCGTCACTGTGGCTCATATCCAACTATCTTTTCAATAACCTTCCCTTTTTAAGAGGCCTTAACCATAACATGGATCCAACTACAAGCCATGTCTCTGGCCACTTTAAAGGAACCTGAGTCAAACAAACAAGAGGGTGGTGGTGGTGGTAAACAGTGCAGAATATTCTGTCTGTTTCCTCAAGAACTAGATCCTATTTGAGATCACAGCCCAAGAGTGAAGCCTAGTCAGTTTAGCCAGACATGCCAATCAGAATCTAACCTGGCATGGGATTGAATTACTTTATTCACTATTTAGCCAGAATAATCCATTTAGTAGTCCTGCAGAAGATCCTGTGGCCTCTACTGGCCACTAAACAGCTATAAGGGTGTAGAAATATTCACATTTTTTACCTTAATCATCATGAGCTAATCTCTAATACTGGTGTTCTGTCAGACTCACTTTGAGCCTTCCTCCAATAGCATTTTATATGTGTGTTCTGGCATCTCTTAGAAAATCTCAATAAAACAAGACCTAGGAAGTAAAATGTACCTGGAAAAGTGTTTAGCAGAATTCTGATTCAAAGTGTAGGAAAGATAACAAAGTGTAAAGTTTGGGAAGCATGCATGTGCTGCTAAATGTAATAAGAGTAGTAAACGTGTATGAAAATAATTGAAATGCTAAGTGAATGGTTCAACGATGATCAGGAATAAAACTGGGTCGTGTGATTCTTCTTGTTTAATGCCTTTGCTGATATTCATATTACATTTATATATGATGATTATACTGTGTGTTGGCCAAGAACTCAACTGATTCATAGCTAATGTCAGATTTTGTGAGTCATCAAAAAGTATGAAGATTACAATACTAAAGACCAAGGAGTTTACATTTGATAAAAAAATAAAGGAAATGATTGTTAAGTTAATAGAAATTGTAAAAAAGAAGTAAGGAAGTAGATGATTTGTGTATGTTGGTAGACTTCTAATAATGTAAAAATAAAATGTGCAAATAAAGGTAGTGGGTAATACTTTCTTTTACAAAGTATAAATGCCTATAAATATAAAAAAATAGTATAAGAACATGCTTTCTCTGTTTTTTTTATATGCAGGTATAATCTATGTCAGAGGTGTCAAACTCATGGCCCACGGGCCAGATGCATCATGTGCTGGCCACGCCCACGCCTAGTTTAGCGGAGGGGAAAAAAGCCATGATACTACACGTGATGACGCTATGATGGCGTGAGTTTGACACCCCTGATCTATGTGGTTGCTAAGAGTTGAAAATGATTTGATGGCAGATAATCAGATAATCATATGGAAACAATAATTGGGTGTGTCTGATAAAACTTCTAAAAAAAGAGGGACTAAGAATGCATAGGTGCTCGGTGAATGTGGAGTGAACAGAGTAAGAAGTAAGAAGTATATTATTAGTATAGTGTTGTTACAGTAACCAGGAGACCATAATGATAATGCAGGGTAGTAGTTTGGCTTTCCAAGGTACCAGCTCTGTTATAACTGACTAGGAAATTCTGGGATTTGAAGTCCATCCATTTTAAAGCGCACAAGGTCGAGAAACAGTGATTTAGTTTTGTTTTCCAAGCCTTTTTTTATGATTGGCTGCTTTTCTGTTTCTTCTGATGCTTCAGCTGTATTCACTTGATAATCTTCAGATTCTGAAAAATGAAAATTTGCTCCAGTTGAAACTAACTGAACAAGTTAGTTTTCTAGGTTCAAGAACTTCAGTGCTCATGTGCCAGAAATAAAAATGATTCAATTTCAAGTTACTGTATTAAAAAATACTAGCTGTACTAGCTGTAACAATATATAAATATCTACTTTTATTACATTCATCATCCTAAAAGGTATTTTGTTGTACATTTTTAACATTTTCATTTCCTCTGTCATAATTTTTTGTGTTATAATCTGAATTTTCATACATCTAGCGAATCTTAAATTTAAGGTCAGTTTCAAAAAAACACATCCGGAATGTGCAGAAAGCATAACAAACAATATTTTTGTTGAATTAATCTTCCCTGTATTTTAATGCACATAGCTAATAATCTTTTAAACCATTATGAATTCATTATTAGTATAAATATTCCAACTTTGTTTGCTAGATATTTATGAAATAATTAGTTTATATTTTACTTTAGAAATAAATAATAATAGTGTTCTTCTTATATACATGCTCAAGAGATCTTTACATCTTTTTATCCTAATTTTTCTTCTTTAATTTTTCATTTTTCCCCATAAAGTAATTATACAACTATTTAAGTATCTTTTGAAGGCATTCCAAATAGCTAATACATTTACAAGTCTGTAGAATAGGATATGCCTCAAATTTTGGTTGCTTTCGTATAATTAAAAAAAGTAATTTCTTATTTATCAAGTCTTCTCTTTATTTACCGGCAATAGATTTAACAGTAGTCTTCTCATGCGGCTACATATATATTATGCATTTTGTGGCATGATTTTGAGTCTAGTTGTGGTATAAGAAATGTGAAGCAAGAATTAAACAATTCATAATTAAGGTTGACAAGCAATTCCCTAATGCCGCTGATCTGCAGAATGTGTTGGCCAGAGTTGCCGGATAAGACTGCTTCTGCTAGACCTCTGCACAATCTTCAACCCCAAGGATTTCAAAAAGATGCCTATCGTAATAGTGGTAAAAAAATTATCACAAATGTGATTGAACACTAATGTGAGTTTATGTTCAAACCTACACAGTGGTGATAAAACTGGTGAAATAGCCATTCTTCTCTGCACTTACAGCAACTACTAGGGAAAGGTAGGATGAAACAGTTCCAGGCACGCAACATAACAAGTTGGTTGCTTTGCAACTAAAATCATTTGTGATGTGATCTGGCATCACTTTCTACTTATGAAACCCGAGGAAGTCAACAGGGTCCTTTATAGTCCTAACTTGTGCATTGGATCCATGCCCCTCGTATTATCAGGCTGCTGAATGGGGCAAGAATGATTAGATTTGGGAGTTTATTGATGCTTCTTTAGGGACATAGTGATGCTGCATATTTTAAAGAAGCCATTTGGACGTATTATAATTTTTTAAAAAAAAAGTTCACGTAATTTTTCCAGAGGGGTAACTGAATCAATAAGAATTGGGGAAAACATCAGTAACATAACAAAAAACTTTCCTTTTGTTTCTGTTCCTTATGTTCAGAACATTCAGTAATATTATTCTGTTTTGCTTTTCACAGTCGGATAGCAATGCAAGCTTCCTTCGAGCTGCCAGAGCTGGCAATCTGGACAAAGTAGTGGAATATCTAAAAGGAGGAATAGATATCAATACATGCAATCAGGTAAGTAAGAAGTCATATGTGGGCTCATGTTGTGCCAGCTCCAGATTGTAATGTAATATTGAAAGATAAATGGAAACTTTCCCAATGTTTTCCAGTGTTTTCTAGTTGCTAAAGAAGGCGATCACAGATAAAAATACATGAACCTGAAATGATGGTCTTCTGAATTGTTCATTATATGTAGAGATTGAAGATAGGATATTGTTACAGCCAGATTGTCAATTTTTTGGAACAAATCTACAAATGTTTTTCTTATTGATTATGCTTGTTGATTAATACCAGTTCAGATGATCAGTCTATATACCATATTTCCATCTACCGTACACAGCATTATAGAGATAGAATATTAGGAGTGATTTAATTATATTTAATATAAGTTACTGATATGCAGTGAATGTTCTTTATTATATTTCAAATAAAAATGTTTAAAATGTTGTCATATGTATGGACTTAAGCAATTCCTTCAAATCTTTTTTGGACGTTATGATACTGCCAAAAGTTACAATTCCTATAATTATTACACATTCCCTTTTACCACTGCTCTAAATAACTTTTATATCTATTTTGTTTTAAATACAAAATGGCAGAGTTGGCATTAGCCCTTTTCCAAATTCTCTGCAAGATCTAGGACCAAATGCTAAATCTTTAAATATTATTTTGTTGTTGAATGTTTTGATAGAATTTTGGAAAAATTTGCAAATTATAAATTTAGCTACCATAGCAATTACAGATCAATGTCAGAAGTTTATATATAGTGCGACAAAGAGGATGTTGCTTGAAAAACTATTAGAAATTGCACAAGTTAGTAAATCGTTCTAGTCATAGAACGATTTAAGGAACAGTGAAAATAATATTGGGAAATACGTGTCATCGGGAAAAGTAATATTTTTAATGTAGATCTTAACTCTAAAGTGTTCTTTGATTGGGTTCTATTTCAAATGCCCATGCAGACCTTCAAAACTATAAATAAATCTTCACTCCTATATGCAGTTGCTGCAAAAAATGCAGTCCCAAATCATTTTTATTATAATTTCACTGAAGAAGTAATATTGAACTTCTTTAGCTGAAACTTTTCTGTAGGCTAATAAACTCCTATCAAGTGAGACAGCTTTACTATGTATATTAGAATCTATATTTAATATATGTGTAAAATCAGAATATCTTTTTAAAATGAGAAATTATCTGTCATCCATCTATCTCTGTCTGTCTGTCTATCTATCTATCTATCTATCTATCTATCTATCTATCTATCTATCT